GAATTAGAATTTGTGAGCAAGACAGTAGAAATAAACATAAAACGAGCTACCAGCTTCCTTCCTCGTCACAGAACCGAAACTACGATGTCCGCTAGCGGCACACGACAAACAGCAGCGCTTTTATTTTATCGCGTCATTTCAATACACTTACGTCTTATTTTGTTTTATGAGGGAATATCACAGAGGATCTGAGGCTGGAGGAAGGGGAGGTTTGTTTGCTGAAATGATGCTAACGTTGGGTCCGTGATAACAGCAACGGAAAGATAAAACAACTCAACGCCTCAAAACGCACCAACGGCGCAACTTACAGCACAAAAAACCGAGCCGAATAAAACTTATCTTTCAATAACAAAACTCTAATAGCTTGTATAACACCTATTGACAAAATTATGGGCTACTTTTTAAGAATAGTTAAAACAATGTAGCGCTAAAACCCGTTTTAACAGCTAGCCTTCAGCAAGAAAGGACCCCAATTTGTTTATTTCGTAAGGACCTTCAGGCAGTGATTCGGACGCATGGGCCGCCATCTTTTTTTGTAGTTTTTTTTCTTTTTGAGAAAATTTCAAATTTCTATGGTTGAAATTTCAAATATAGAATTTACAACGTGACAAATACAATTTCTTCAATCCTCCCAAGACTTATTTTAAAAAAGAAAAACTATATCTCTTTTGAAAATATTAAGTTTATAACTGAAAAAAATCACTTGTAACAAGCAGCTGTGATCAGTCCAGTATACATTTCTGTTATATAATTAAAAAGTGAAATATTTTAGCGATCTATAAGCATAACACCCTTACCAGATGAATCCAAGAAATATAATATAAGCCACTTATGTAACTTTTTCTATCAACACAAAGTACAAAGACTTATTTCTAGAAATAAAGAATTTGCAGCTCCCCAGAGGAAGCTGGGAAGTTTGAATGAGAAGGTTTCAAACATAACAGGTCCTGGGAATGGGAACAGACAAGTTTCCATACCAGGTTGTACTTTGAACTATGCTATGGGATCAGCTTCCTAAACAGTTTCTAAATAACAATAATAATAAAAAAACAGATTTAAATACATTTATAAAAATTTATTCTTATTAACAATACATTACATAAAAATTAGAGTTATACTTTAATGGCTTTGAGCAACAAAAACATTCTGCAGCAGAGTGCTTGAGAATCAGCTTATCTGCATGAAATCAAGCTTATTTGCTGTTTTTCCATCACTCCACCAGGATTCCCACTTATTCTGATCTGCTTACAGTCATTCCAGCAGAACACACCACCACATCAATGGTGGCTAGAGAACAATTTCACACATCATTTCACATTACTTTGAGAGAAGCATTATATTTGTTAAAAAAAAAAAACTTAATCATGAGGTAAATTGCACAAGTTGAAGGCACAGAGTGGCTCTTGACACAGCAGCATTAGTTGTGAATTAAGATTTAAAACACTGATGGATGGTAAAGCCTGTGTTATTTTGTTTGACGTTCCTCATAGAAATACCCGCATATATTGTTCTGTTTACATGACGAAACCAGATATTTACATACACAGCATAGAACAACAACTTTCTACAACTTCCCTGTTGATAGAGTCAGCTGTAATTATCCAAATTATTTAGTCTTGTCAAATTCCAGACTAATACTTTCTTCAAATGTAAAAAAAAAAATCAAGAAGAAAAATAAAAGAGTGACGTGTCTTTATGTCATTTGGTAAAGCCGAAGTATAGAAGTGGCAGCATCGTGTTGCAGGATAGATCGGTCCACTTCGCTAAGCAGGAAAAAATTATGTGGAAAATCAAGTCATATTTCAAAGAATTAGTTAGGAAGATAAAGGGCAGACAAAAAAAAAAAGAGAGTTTTCATAATTTAAAACAACGGTAAGCAAACAGCTGGTTTGCTTATGGTGGGTTGTGTACGACAAAGTTAATGTTTTACCGTGGACCATCACATTGCCCTCATATCTGTATCACAGAAAATTTCTGCGCAGAGAGCAAAAGGTGTGTGTCATCCTGAAATCATAATTTAAAAGGCAATTCCACGAAATACAAAGCAAATGTGCGCATACTGGTGAATAATAAGAAAAAAAGTCATTTGGGTAATCATGACTGACATAAAACAGGCAAAGTTTAGTCTAATTTTGTGTCAGACAGTGAGAATCAATAAGATTTGCACGTCTGTATACAGCGCATATAAATATCTTGTTTCAACTGTAGTCTTGAGGAACTCAGTGATGCATTCACATTTGATAAACATTCATTCATCATTCATGTAGTTGTACAATACTTTAGAGTTTAGTTTAGAGAATGAAATGCAGATCGGAACCTTTAGCAGTTTCCACTGAAAGAGGTCGACCAAATCAGACCTTCTTCCCCTCTGAGACGATGAACTCTGCAGGAGCCCTTTTGAAAAACTCTGTCCAGGATCCGTCATAAAGACCAACGCCGGGCTTCCCGAGCCGGTGAGCGGCCAGAATCACGTGACACGCTGTGATTCCCAAACTTCAGGAAGCCCAGAGTGGCTTCTCCAGGTCCACCCCGGCCTTCTGGAAGACTTTGTGATATTTTCCAGAGGAATCCAGGAGAGATGTGAAGGGGACGTTGATCACCGTTGGAAAATGCCCCGGGGGGACATCTGAGAAAACAAGGGAGGGGTGGGAATTTTTTTATTTAGTTATTCATTCATTTTTGTCAGTGATAGTCTTGTACATTTTATTCTTACTTAAAACATTTGTCTTTATCTGCCTATATGGATCTACTATGACCAGGGGTTATTTCTGAAATGATTTCAAAATCATATTCAAAATCTGGCAGATCGTCTTTAAGCTTTACTAAAAAGGGGAAACAAAATTATTCATATCTTTTTCATAATTGTTCAGGTGGTAATTAGAATTTTATGTGACAGAGCAAAACAAAACAAAGTGTGGTAGTTTGATATCTGTCTACCAACTTTACCCATCTAAGTTGTTAAATTTTTTAACTGTGTTGGAATATAGTTCCAAGTTTAATTGAATTCAGTGGAGAGCATTTCTTTTAGTTCTCAAGTTTTGGACTTCGACTAGACCACTGTAGCTTATGCTTGGAATGAAAGCTTTCCATTTTATGTTAATGGTCGTTTTCTTGATGAAAGATAAACCACCACCCCACTCCTTAAATAAATACACTCCTCACCTTCTCTTGGTTCTGGTTCGGAACCGCGGAGCCGGTCGACAGACCGGGCGTCCACCACCTGGACCTGCTTGGTCTTGATGTTCTGCAGCACATCTTCATAGCTTTTCACCCAGGTCTGGTTCAGGCTCGCCTGGAAGTCCGTCTTGTCCGGCTTGGTGTAATCGGAGGTCACCGGGTGACCGTCAGCTACCCAGTTCTTGAAGCCTCCGTCCAACACCGACACCGAGCTGTGGCCGAACACCCGGAGCATCCACCACACTCGGGGCGCGGTGAACGAGCCGAAGTCGCTGGTGTCGTAAACCACGACGTGGGTGTCGTTCCCGACGCCGAGGTCGCTGACGTACCGGGAGAAGTCGCTGGCGGTCGGCAGCATGTGGTCGTACGGGGAGCTCTTGTCGCAGCATTCGTCTAAGTCGAAAAACGAGGCTCCCGGTATGTGTTTGTGACTGAACTCGTGTCTGTGGTTCCGGTAGCTTCTTGGCACGTAAGTTCCGTCCAGAACACGGCGTTTTGGGCCGGTGAGTTTTGTCTTGGCTGAGTTAGCCAGCCACTGAGCGGAGACCACGGTGCGTATACCTGAGAGACCATGACTGACAGCTGAGTAAAATGACGGGCATTATGATAGGCAAGGGTAACGGCACGCGGCTCTTCTTCTTGGTGTTTATTGGCGGTTGGCAGGAAACGTTAGATGAGCGTTACCGCCACCAACTGGTCGGTTATCGTTTAGGTCAGAAATGCACCAGCAAGGATGTCCAAACTTTACCAAATTAAAATCCTTAAAGCAACAAAAATCTTTATGTACAATACTTTCATTTCCACTCTTCTTTGTACTTTTGCATTGTGAGCGCTTGGAAACCAGTTAAATTCTTTGTTTGTGCTCACAGTCTTGGCCAACAAAGCTAATAAATAAAACAATCAGCATTTTAATAAAACAAACCTTCAAGCAATCGGATTCCTAAATAACACTGATCCAAAAAATACTTATGTACAGGTTTTTTTTTTTGTTTTGTTTTGCAAGATTAATAGAATATTGATCAAAATTTATTAACATTCTTTATCAAGCCATGGTGACGTCCCTGCAGCACAACTACCATGTTTAATGTAGGGATGCTGAAGTCAGGGTGCAATGTCTGTTTCCTGCCACAGATAAAAAACAAAAAAAAAAACAATAAAAACCTCCTTAGCATCATCTGTCCATAGCATCTTTTTCCAAATTTCCATTGCATAGCATTTAATAAACCAAATGCTGTACTTCTATTGCTTTTCTTCTGGCCACTCTTCCATAAAAAAACAATTTAAGTACACAGCTGACAGCTGAGCCCCATGCTGTTAAACCTGTCAGGGCTTGAGCAGTATTTATAAAGAAATTAAATTACACACAGATAAACTATTTGCCATCACATAAATCTCAGTTAGTTTGACGTTTGTGGTTCTCACAACAGAATGTCAGATGAAGGAGGTCAGCAGTTATGTGAATGTGTGATCATTAGTCTTGATCAATGAAAGTTTCATTCTGAGTCTTGAGTTCTCAAATACAGAAAATATTCTGAAATCTTTCGAGGTAGAAAAAAAAATATACAAAGCTGGATCTTGCTTTTTCAAATATGAAACATTCTGCAAAAAATAACATCACTGCAAAGACAGTTTTAGTTTTAAGACGTTGCTGGAGGAATATAATAAATGTAAGACGAACATCATGTTTCTCTTAGCTCATTCGTCGAGGTACAAATAATTACATCTGGGAAGAATTTACCTGGAGATCCATAGAGGGGCATCATTGAATAGGAAACAGGATTTGAGTTTAAAAAAAAAAGAAGTTCTAAACAAATCGGATCATGTGAGTGGAAAGAGCCTCATTTTATTGGACAATAAGGGGGGGGAAACAATCACATGATGCTGTGAGATTTGTACAGATGGCACAAAGCTGTTGCATGTCCTCACATTTTTCTGCGTTTTAATTGGTCGGACGATTAACGTGTCATTTTCACTGTGCAGTTGCGTTCAGTTGCAAAAGTGAACTTGTACCTTTTTAAAAATCTACTAGAGGCAGTCACTTGAAGAAAATCACAATAAAATATGATAATTCCTTTAATGCTATTATCTACAATTGAAATGCATAAGGTTCTGCACCAGAACACTTGACTGACATTGACCAGGTTTGCACAATTTCTCACGGAATCGTTACATTAATAGCAGCATAACAACAGAACAGAGATTGCAGCGCCGTAAGATGCATGCAGATTTGAGGCACTTTGGCAGTTCCGTTTTCACATGATTGAGCAACGGTACAAGTTGAAACACGTTATTTAACATATAATAATATGCATAATTTTCTTTAATTTTATATTAAATCACAAAATAAAAACTAGATTATATTTGCATGGCACAGTGTGAGATTCTCTGAAACGATGTCTTCTGCAGCTCTTAAAAGTTAGTCATGATTCATAAAAGCCTTTCATCCCAGGATAAACCTCCTCCTACAAGGCGAGTATTTGAAGTTTCTCCACAGCAAAATATTGCTTCTATCCTCAAAATGTGACCTGTTCTTGATTGCACCAGGCTAATCATTCCTTCTTTCCCTCCCCCTCCGAGACGATGAACTCTGGAGGAGCCCTTTTGAAAAACTCTCCCCAGGATCCGTCGTAAAGACCAACGCCGGAGCGGCCGAGCCGGTGGGCAGCCAGAATCACGTGACACGCTGTGACTCCAGAACCGCAGGAGGCCCAGAGAGGCTTCTCCAGGTCCACCCCGGACTCCTGGAAGAGCTTGGTCAGATTCTCAGGGCTGTAGTGCCTTCCAGAGGAATCCAGGAAAGACGTGAAGGGGATGTTTATGGTTTCGGGAAAATGCCCAGGGAGAACATCTGAGCAGGGTTAAATGGTATTATTCATAAAAAGACATCAAATACAAAAATGTTGGCATTATCGCTTTAAAAATATAATTTAACAAAACCCTGTAATACCATTCCAGCCTGGGCTGCATCGCAGATTTATCATCAATGTAGTATTTACAACATCCCAAACATATGCTGGGACTAAATATTGGGATTAAATATTAAACTTTTACATAAATATGCAAAACAGATTTATATTTTTTAACAAAACCATCTTGTTGGGATTTAAATAATTAAGAAGCTTTTGTTCCAGTAAACGGATATATTATCACAATCCGGGGTTTATGTTTGCAATGAACAGAACAGTATATGTTTATTTAACCCAAGTCTTAGGTCACAGCAACATTAACGAAGGTTGTTGTGCAAGGTGCACACATGTTCATACTGTGTTGCCCTTAAACTGATATTTAGAGCAATCAAATGTCTGGTTTTTCACTTATGCAATTTAAATGTATGGCTTTTGTGACACGTAAAATATTTACATTTTGCACATCATCTTCTTTTATTGTCTAAACTGTAAAGAAAGTAGGCTTTGTGTGTCTTAAATGACCCTGAGCTTCACTTGTGTCCTGTAATCTTTAACGAGCAGCAGCCTGTTTGTTCACTGGGGTTCATGACACCTTGAGTTGTTTTGCTCACCTTCTCTTGGTTCTGGTTCGGTACCCCGGAACCGGCCGGCAGACCTGGAGTCCACCACCTGGACCTGCTTGGTCTTGATGTTCTGCAGCACATCTTCATAGCTCTTCACCCAGGTCTGGTTCAGGCTCGCCTGGAAGTCCGTCTTGTCCGGCTTGGTGTAGTCGGAGGTCACCGGGTGACCGTCAGCCACCCAGTTCTTGAAGCCTCCGTCCAACACCGACACCGAGCTGTGGCCGAACACCCGGAACGTCCACCACAGACGGGGCGCGGTGTACGAACCGAAGTCGCTGGTGTCGTAAACCACGACGTGGGTGTCGTTCCCGATGCCGAGGTCGCTGACGTACCGGGAGAAGTCGCTGGCGGTCGGCAGCATGTGGTCGTACGGGGAGCTCTTGTCGCTGCATTCGTCTATGTCGAAAAACGAGGCTCCCGGTATGTGTTTCTGCTGAAACTCCTCCCTGGCGACTCGCTTGGTTTTCGGCAAATACCAGGACCCGTCCAGGACACGGAGTTTTGGGCCGACGAGCTTGTTTTGGATGGCATCCGCCAGCCACTGAGCGGAGACCACTGCGGGACAGGGAGCAGCCGCCATGTTGGAGAGGGCAAAACAGTCAATGTCAGCTGCAGATATAACTCGTGTCCCGCCCAGTTCTCTACCAAACAAGCCCATCAATTCCGCTTAGAAACTTCTTCCGCTTATTATAAAGTTATTTTTGAAGTCAGTTAAGTCATCTTCAAAAATAATTGAAGTCATAAAGTTTGCCACATGACATCTGCACACAAATAAGCATTTGTTTTCAAATGAATTAAAAATGGTGATCCATACAGCTGCAAAGACAACTGTGTGTGAACAATCGCTAAAATACACAAATATACCTGTTGGTTCTGCAGTTTGTTCCATTTGACTTTTTGTGCTAGTTTCCTATTATTTTTTGTATCCCTCGCTAAGAGACATATTTATGTAGCTTTCCTTCTGTTAACAGTGTTAAAAGACACAAATCACATATTCAAGGGAAACGTGGAGTTGAACTTCCAATTAAAAATAAACTAAGATCATTTTCAAATATGTTACTATTTGAAAAATATGACCTTACTCCGTTTACGTGACTGATGAAACTACTGACCTTATCAAAAAGGAAAGGACGGTTGAAGAAGAAGCACACATCACAAAAACCCAAAGCGAGATCATTTTTGACTCATTTCCAATTATTTTACTAATCTGGAAATTTAGTCAAATTATATAATAAGACCCCAATAAAGCTGGAGAAATGTATTGTTAGCTATTATTAGAGGAGAACAAGAGACAACCATGTCAGCCAAGGATAAACATGTTATCACTCTGATGAGCTGTAATAATGGGGACGAGTTAATGACCGTCTTTGTTATTTGTTTCTCTTTTAACCTCTAAGGAGACGGTATTCTCATGTCAGTTTTGCCAGTGTGTCGTCGTCAAACAGTGAACAGTGCAGCTTTAGAATTTCTTATCTGTTTTGTCCTGTCTGGTTTTCTTGGTTATTAAAAATGCAAGCCTCAACCTGTCTTCAGCATATGAAAAAATATGTACAATATTTTTAAGGTTTTGTTATTTAATGTAAGACCTTATGCAAATGATCAGGTGATGGATTTAAGGGTAGCAAAGCAATTGAGCGGATCACAGTATATATTTTTTTTATTAGTCCTTGAACTTGTAGGAATTAAGGGAGCATGAATCATATTTATCTCAGAGATTTTCATTTATTTACGTGATCGATAACTCTCCCTAATGTCTCAGAGTTAGTTATGGGATGCCAGGACTGAGTGCTTGGTACAGCACTGTTTATATTTGTTGTGAAATTTTTCTGGTTTCCTCCAATGACATTGAAAAATTAAAACAGTTTGACAAAAACAGTTGTTGGTTCTGATTCCTTCTTTATCCATTTTTATACTTTGCTTTTTTGTTCTCAGCCTCGTTAACTTGAGGAAAACTCTTAACTGCAATCGAGTCGAACGAGTTTAACGTTTAGGAAAACCGACACTTCAGGTGAGGACTGTGTGACAAGATCCTCTTTCACTAATGCTAGGATTTATTTATTTTTATTTCATAATAAGCATTTTGGATTCCATATTGGATACAACTCTCCACTTAACAGAAATAGGAATTACAAGCATTGCATTTCTCTTCTTTTTTTGGGTCAATTTTTATATATATAAAGCTTAACATAATTTCCATCTTTTGAAAAAGAAGCACATTTACCCAAGATAACATTTTATTCATTTTATGTTTCAGAAACAAAAAAACAAATTGTGCATGATTACATATGAATATTAATCAAGGAATCTCATATTCCTGCTGATCCATGATACCAGAAAATACAAAACAAATACGAAACGATATATATCTCTGTTAAAAAGTCATATCTGCATAATGTAAAGAGTTTCATAAAATGCTCTTCACCTGCAGAAAACCCACACCTCCCCCTGTTAACTTACATTTATAAAGCACTTCATTTATAATGTTACAAGTTTAATAGCGTTCTCCATCATCCCAACACCAGTCAGTAAAAATATACACCCTGCAGCATAAGTTAAGTGTTGTACTCCTAATTTCCACAGGAAACAGACTAGTCCCGTTCCAAGCAGCAATCTAATGCAGCTTCTAGCTTATTTTAAAACGGTTCATTCTGCCTTCTTTCCCTCCCCCTCAGAGATGATGAGGTCTGGAGAAGCCCTCTTGAACCATTCCACCCAGGCGCCGTCGTAGAGGTAAAGATCGGCGTGCCCGAGCCGGTCGGCGGCCAGGAGAACGTGACATGCCGTGACTCCCGAACCGCAGGAAGCCCAGATCGGCTTCTTCGGGTCCACTCCAGCGCTCTGGAAGAGCTTGGTCAGGGCCTCTGTGCTCTTATGCTTTCCATTAGATTCCAGGAACGTTGGGTAAGGCATGTTGATTGCTCCGAGAAAATGCCCAGACTGGATATCTGAGAGGAAATAGATAAATGGGGAGAGTGTCAAAAAATTATTTTGTTTTCAACAAGTAAAGTTCAAGAACAGCAAGAAGCACTTTCAATGAAGTCATGTGGCTCATTAAACTCTTCACATGACAGTGCTTTCTGCTGCAGGAAGCAGGCCGGTAAATGTTTGTGCACTGTCATTGTGAGTAGCAACAACAGTGTGCAGCAACCGGGCGTGGCTGACGAGGGACGCTTCGTCTCCAGGCCAACAAGCTTTTCAGGCTTCATATCAGCTCTCAGCATCGCTGAACTGGGATGACTATGATTTTTAGCCAAGATTGATGGTTTTATTAAAAGTTACAGAAATCGTAACTATTAAGTACAATAGAAAAGGAGTGACAATAAAACTTTGATGGCCTCATATTCACCGAATTTATTTTACGGTTTCATTGCTGGTTCTGAATAGTTTGTTCCTCATCAACTGGAACTTTTACATGATATTTATCAATGGGGGGAATTGGGTGGAAATCAGTACTTGGATAATCCAATCTAAATGTGACTAAACCTTTGCATTTCATCTCTTAAAAATTTAATTAACCTGAAACTTTCATCTTCAAGTCAACGCTTTATCAAAAACAATAAACCATTGACCACAAAATGCTTACAAGTGCGTCTCCAGTAATTACTTTATTTCTGTTTATCGCAACTGATTGTACATGCTTTTTATGGTTTGATTGTTTTATGGAGTGACAACGGATAACTCTTGGCAATTTTAATCAACTCCTTTGCTTTACAACCTCTTCCTGCCAGAAATAAAGTTGAGCTCTTGATCAGTAAAACACAGTCAGTCTGTCTGGCTGTGTTGTGTGGCACTGATCTGATTTCAGGCTTCACTTTCAGCCCATTTCCTGCATAAATTGGTCTCATGTGTAAATCTAGGGTTATTATGCAAGCACATTAAGCATTTATTAATGTTTCTTAACAATGCACTTTTTGGTCCTCCTCACCTTCTTTTGGTTCTGGGTCGGTACCGCGGAACCGGCCGGCAGAGCGGGCGTCCACCACCTGGACCTGCTTGGTCTTGATGTTCTGCAGCACATCTTCATAGCTCTTCACCCAGGTCTGGTTCAGGCTCGCCTGGAAGTCCGTCTTGTCCGGCTTGGTGTAATCGGAGGTCACCGGGTGACCGTCAGCCACCCAGTTCTTGAAGCCTCCGTCCAACACCGACACCGAGCTGTGGCCGAACACCCGGAACGTCCACCACACTCGCGGCGCGGTGAACGAGCCGATGTCGCTGGTGTCGTAGACCACGACGTGGGTGTCGTTCCCGACGCCGAGGTCGCTGACGTACCGGGAGAAGTCGCTGGCGGTCGGCAGCATGTGGTCGTACGGGGAGCTCTTGTCGCTGCATTCGTCTATGTCGAAAAACGAGGCTCCCGGTATGTGTTTCTGCTGAAACTCCTCTCTGGTGTTCCGCTTGCTTTTCGGCAGGTACCAGGACCCGTCCAGAACACGGAGTTTTGGGCCGACGAGCTTGTTTTGGATGGCATCCGCCAGCCACTGAGCGGAGACCACTGCGGGACAGGGAGCAGCCATGACGGGGAAGGAGCGGCAGGAGAGCGGCGAGCAAAACAGCCTGTAGCCCGGAAGAAACGGCTGGTATTTAACCGGTCGCTCGTCCCGCCCCTGATCTCTATCTGTGTTGACTTTTAGTTATTTGGAAATGTGAAATAATTGTTACAACTCAATAGATATTATGTCATGTTGTAATTTTTTTTTCAAAGATGAGAACAATTGGAAAAATAGATATTTTAATGCAATAACAATAATAATAATAACAACATTTTTTTTTGTTGCATAAAATCATTTTAAATTTAAATTCTGTCTTCTATTTCTACAGTACATTACAATGTGCACGATTTTAAATATTTGATCACACAATCCACTAAATAGATTACACTCTGTTGTAAGAAAAGCAATAGTCACTACTAACTTCAGATGTTGCAAGTTGGCTTTTCAGATTATGAATAAACGTTTGTGCAAAGACTAAAATGAGTTCGTCAAACCCATCTGAAATACTGAACTTGCACATAAACTTGACACCATCTGTCAAGCTTTTACTTGACAGATGGTGGTTTTTGTATTTTTCACTGACAATAAAAAAAGTAAAACATCAGCCATCTGTCAAGTGAAAACTGCGAACCAGCAAAGTTTTGGTTCGTTCGAGCTGCACTTACACGTTTTGAGCAGCAGGTGGCAGCACTTGGACGGCCTCAAGCCATTACGTCTTTGGAAAGCTGACTTCAGTTTCATTGACTGCTGCCGCAGCCAAGACCTATGAAGCGTAGACATCTACTTAAATAGGTGAAGAGGCCCAGAAAAGATCAAGAAAAGCATCTCGCAATTCATCTCATCTGAAGAAGTCCAAGAACAGCTGAGAAACAAAGGCACAGTCACAATCGTCTGGAAACGATTGCAGCCATTTCTCGGGCTCTGAGTCTCCAGGCAGCTCCAGTGACAGCCACGATCAACCAATGGAGAAATTAGTTTTATTTTAGAGGAGCCTCCACATATTCTTCGTCTGACAAGTTTAGGTTATGGATGGGTTTACTGGGAATCTGGGATAAACCCGAGAGAAAAATACCCTCAATGATTGAAAGAAGTATCTGCGGCAACTTCTTTCAATTAGAAGTTG